TGCTTACAATGGAAAGGTATAGCATCTGAATATATCTACACCTATAAGAGATGTTAAAACAATAATTAATAATCTTCCAAAACAGAAAACAACAGTTCTAAATGGGCTCACTAGTATTCTTATAAATTTTTATGAAGAAATGATATAAATTCCTACAAGTAAACACAAAAAAGATGCTTAACATAATGTATATTATGGAATTACAAATTAAAGCCATGACAGAGAGCACTGTAAACCTATTAAAATGGCTAAAATTCCAAAAAAGACAAGATCAAATGAGGGAGAATATATGAAACAGCAGGATTTCTTCTTCACTGCTGGTCGGGATATAAAATGATATAGCCTCTCCAGAGCCCAGTTTGACAGTATATTACAAAATCACACATATTTTTATCATACAATCCATCAACTGTATTCCTTGGTGTTTGCCCAAATGAGCTGAAAACTATATCCACACAAAAACCTGCCACAAATGTTCATATCAGCTTTATTGAAAACAATGAAGAAACCAAGATGCTCTTCAACAGACAAACATATAAACAAAGTGTTATATATCTATACAACAAATGTTAACTAATTAAAAAGAAATGTTATTAAACCATGAAAAATATGGAGGAACCCTAAATACATATTGTTAAGTGAAAGTTGTCTGCTTGAAAAAGGCTTTGTACTGTGTGACTACATGATGTTCTGGAAAAGGCAAAAATATGGAAACAATAAAAAAGGGGTTTAGTTGGATAGAGAGATATATGGATAAATGGAAAATAATGTATATTTATTGTAATGAAATTATTTTTATGATAATATAATGCTAGATAATGTCATGCTTTTTTAAAACCCTGTAGAATATACAACAGAAGAGTAAAGCTTAATGTGAACTATGGATTTCACTTAACACTAATGCATCATCATTGGTTCATTTATTGTACCAAATATACAACATAAATGCAAACTATTAATATTAAGAGAAGGTGTGTGGGGGAAGGGATTTGAGAGTTTATGGGAACTCTCTATTCTTTCCATCTAAATTTTCTGTAAGCCTGAAACTTCTCTAAAAATAAAGTCAATGAATTAAAAAAAGAAACCCTCTGAGTTACATATTTAGAGTAACTCCCGTTTTCCTGGATAATCCATAAGTATTTGCATTTAGCCAATTATTTTTATTGATTTTCTTATGTGAAACACTTTTCTTCCAAAAAACAACAAAAAAGCCATTCTATCAGTTGTAGTAAAATTTGTTCAATTGTCATCTATCATTAATAAATATAACAAAGCCAAACACCCCATGGATCCTGAAACTTCTTTTAAATAATTTTTTCTGGCATAAAAAGTAATTGTTACAGGCTCTAGGGTTTCTGTGCATAAATACACACACACACACACACACACACACACACACACACACACGAGCATTACACATAAAATTCTACTAGAAATAGTCCAAGTGGCATCACAGAAGAATTTATTTCATTAAACATATTTAAAGAAATAATATTCAAAGTATCCAAACAACTCATGAAAGAGAGAATAAATAGCATATTAAACATGAAGAAGAAAAAGTGTTAAGTGAAATCCATAAATGTAAAGATAAATGTAAAATTGATGAATTAGAAAATAGTAGAGCCAACCAGTGAAATCTAGTTCTTGGAAGAATTTATATAAATGAATTTTGTAAATATTATATAATTATATAAATGAATTTTGTAAATATTATCAATTAAAAGAAGAAGCAGAAATAAATGATATTAGATACACAAAATTGTATAAAACTTGGATGCAGAAGGGATTTAACACAAATTTTAAAAAAACACTATCAATACACCAGGAATAAATGGTGGGAGGAAAAGGTTCTACCTCAAAATTAAATAAACTTGAAGGAATTTTAGAATCAAGGAAATTACCATCCTGCAATCCCTAAAAGATTGATGGATAAAGAGGATGACTTCCAACATCACAACAAAGGGGAAAAAAGTCATTTTGTATCTACTAAAGGAAGTGCACCACTTAAGCTAAGGAGTGCAACTGTCAATAGATAAGTAACCTTTAATATACACAAGATGTTCCTACAAAAATTCCTATCATAAGTTGAGGATTTTTGATTACTAATGTCCGGTAATTGATTTTATTATTATATTCTCTATACCATTGTATATATCTGTTGTTTTTGTAATAAAATGATTTTAAAATAAATATCATGACTGTAAGTATGAAAACCAAAGAAAAATGGATAAATTTTTACTAAAATATAAATGACTAAACAAGTCCATAAAGAAATAGAAATCTTTGGGGCTGGGGATGTGGCTCAAGCTGTAGCGCACTCGCCTGCCATGCATGCGGCCTGGGTTCCATCCTCAGCACCACATACAAACAAAGATGTTGTGTCCACCGAAAACTAAAAAATAAATATTAAGATTCTCTATCTCTCTCTTTCTCTCTCTCTCTCTCTTTAAAAAAAAAAAAGAAATAGAAATCTTCAACTGTACAATAGAAACCCAAACTACAGTCCAAACCTAAGCCACCAACCATCAAACTGTTAAAGGACAGCTATGTTAGGAGGCCCACCCCAGTGTATCAAATGTGAAGAAAAACTAATCACCATTTCATGCAAAATCTTCCAAATCCTACCAAAAAAAAAAAAAGTGGAAATTCCTTGGCCATTTTAATGGGCTAGCTTTCCTTGTTACGGAGATGAGATGAGCGTGCCCAAATAATATTAGAGACAAGCTCACTCACATAGAGACAATCTCACTCACATAGAGACAAACTATCTTAAGGAAATTCATAGCATATCCAATGAGAAGTGAATTAATGAAAACGAGGCTGGGTCCAAGAAATACAGTGATTATATCACATTTTAAAATACCATTAATCGGAAATCACTATTACCAAAAAAGGTGAAAAGCCACGGGATCATGTACAGAGGAAAATAAAATTCTTTAAAAAAAATCTTTCAAAAGCAGTGCATGATAACTTTAAGCAAACTTTCATTAGGAGAAATTTTCCGTTTTGTAAAATCTACAATGAACACACTAAAGGTACAATGTTACAAGCATCCCCACTGAGTCAAAAAAATTCACAGATATATGGCATTAATTGTACTACAGACAACTGGATGAAACACATAGCCAGTACACAAATATGACAGGAATATCAAAGTAAATAAGAAATAAAAAAATTAAAAGAGATGAGAGTAGTAACAATATGATCTCCTAATTTTTTATAAAAGTAATTGAAGCAGAAAGTATTTAGGTGTATAAGGAATTTTTTAAAAAAAACTGGTATACAAAACATCACTACAGGAAAATCAGAGATTAATCAAATGAAATGAGTAACCAATTAGAAGACATAATGGAAAATATACCTTTAAAAACAGCAGCAACATGTGAAATATACCTAATATAGAAATAAAACAAAAAAAACATAAGATTTCCTTATAAATACAGCTATAAAGTTATTTATAAGGCTAAGGAAGAGGTTGGGGTTGTGGCTCAGTGGTAGAGCAATTGCCTAGCATGTGTGAGGCACTGGGTTCAATTCTCATCACCACATATAAATAAATAAATAAATAAACAAATAAATAAAGGTCTATCAACAACTAAAAAATATTTTTTTTAAAAAGACTAAGGTAAAGTAAGTCTCCAATAGAGGTGTGTACTATGTTCTTTCATCAGAGAAGAAAATATTTTAAAGATGTCAATTATCCTTAAATTCTTTACAGATCTATTGCCTTACACATAATTATGAATATGACAACAAAACTCAAGATGTTGTTTCCTCGGACTGAAATCACCATGGAAAATTAAAGGAAGAATAAAGAAACAATTCTAAGAATAACAGCAAGGGACACTAAGTCCTTGTAGAACTAGAACCTCTATATTAGACATGACCTAAAGTGGAGACAGGTCTACAACCTGCAACAGTTAGATGACATAATTGTCAAGAGAAAAAATTTATAGTTTGGCTATTGTTTTTTCAATATACTTTTGGACAATGCATATTTACTGCTTCATTTAAGGAATATGAGGTAACAATTGCACTGGTCACTGTGGGGGTTAGGGGGCGGTTTTAGGACAACACAAACATTTGAGTTAGTTGAAAAAGTATAACTTTAGAAATTGCTCTAAAACAACCTGAAACCTCTTTAATGAATGACAACTGGCAGTTAATTTATTGCAGTATTGTGCACTATAAGGAATGGATGACTTTGGAATAGCAGGTATCACAGTGAGGAATACATAGTAGGAATAGAAGTTCAACCTGAAATTTTTGAATATAGATACTGAAGTCAGCAACAGAGGCCTCAGATATTGCTGAGACACTAAGAAGCCCTATTATTTTCTTTTTGAGATTTTGTGGAACATGCTTGAAGGAATGGGGTGGCTTCACATCAGAAAAGGTTTGAATCCCAGGCGGCGCCAGAACTCAGTATGAGAAACTAAAGACAGAGATAGTACACACCTCAAAAGAAACAGGACCTTTCAATTTACTTCATAAACCCGACTCCATGCACCATAACTTAACAGCAGTAAACAAATTAAGGAGGCACTGGGCAGTATTGGCCATTATGTCACATCGGGAGTCTCAAAAACTTGAGTTCTTTGCTTTGAGGGGCTGGACTCAAGCCTTTGGAAGGACAGTAGCTAAACACCTAAGTAATCAAGATAAGACAGAGAACTGAGGGCACCATCCCCCCCAGGAAACAGACCACACAGATCAACCCACACTACCAGTCTTTGGAGGTCCCATGCTGGGCTCAGGCTCCACCTTACTCCCTACTGGGGACTCTCTGGGAAATGAGCTCCTTATTCCAAGCCCCTTTGCCTCACCTCAGTAGAGGGCGTCGCCCCAGCACCGGTGCAGAGTCAATGAGCTGAGTGTGTGAGCTCTCAAGGAACTCCTCTCCTCCAGAACAAAGGCCGGCTGTCCCAGCACCGCCCGGCAGTTATAGCCTGAGACCACGTGGGCCGGACCACAGGACCGGAAGTACCAAACCCGACTTCCTTTTCACGAGGCTGTGGTGAGTGAGGCCTTGGACTGAACGCATAGCCTCAGGCCTACTGAGATAGACTAGCAGGTGTTGACAGGTGTCTTGGTAGGTACCTAAGTTCAACCGCCACCCCCCCAAAAAATGTGAGTCCCCACAAACACGCCCGCCCTTCCCTTCCCCTGAAAAGGAGGCCCCACAGGGCCCGCCCGCTCCCAGAAGCCCTCAGACATGGCAGTTAGGCCCAAAGATCTGGCGTCTCCCCCCAGGACTTGAGGAACAAAGGCTGTCTGGGGCGGGCGGGCTTAGGTCAGCAGAGTGGGGCATCTCAGGCCCTGCGGGTTAAGGAGAGAAACTTGGTGAAGATTGAGGGGACTCCATGCCCCCGAGCCCAGAGCGCCCCCCAGGGGTGGGCTTACAGAACTCGGTCCCTGATGTCTACAGACCTACTAAAGGTGGGGGCGGGGGTCGCGGTGGCGGGTGGCGTGCAGTGTGTGTGTGTGTGTGTGTGTGTGTGTG